AATGATGCCACCTGGCCAATCCATCTCATTAGGGGATTGTAATTAGTACAATGAAACAAAATATGATAGGATGAGTACAAAACCCATGTTCTCCCTGTAAACTATCACTCAATTCACAATAAAAGCTTTTTAAAAACAGGCGGAGGAGTCGAGTTTTACGGTATGTAAATTATATCTAAATAAAGCTATTAGGAAAAAAATTCTATTGGCTTTAAAATCAAATATAAAAAAAAACAAAGCCAGATGAGATCTTTCAGTTGAAGATGACTGTAATAGTTAAAGGTTTGTGGTCCACTTGACTGGGGCAGGACTCTCAATGGTTTGGAAATTAAGATGTAGTGATTCCCCATGAAGAGATCAGCTATGAGATGCCAATCAGTTGAAAGGAAGCTTCTTTAGCAGTGTGGCCTATTTCCAATATATTGGACACTCAAGCAAAGCTTCCTTTGTTTTCTGCTGGATCTGTATTCTGCCTCTGGCTTGTCATCCAACCTCTGGTTCCTTGGACTTGACTCAGTGACTGCTCTAGTGCCTCCTAATCCTGTAAATCAGCCATCATGTCTTCCTGTCATATGACCTACAGTATGTTCATCAGCCCTATAGCTACATGAGTCAGAAGCCTTCAGCCTGACATCTGACCACAGACTAGGACTTGTCTACCTCTACAAATATGTGAACCATTTCCTTTACATGACCCTATCTTCATAATTGCATATATAAGATTTACTGGTTTTGCTTCTCTAGAAAACCCAGACTACGATATTAGCAAATGGATCACATGAATTCATCGACTTTTCTTCCTAACCAGATGCCGTTGATTTAAATCTGACTTACGGAAAACCCATGTGTTGTAGAGTAGAGCTACACTCCATGGAATTATGGCTGTGACCTTTTGGAAGCAGACGCCACATCTTTCTTCCAAGGCACATCTGGGTATGTGTGAACTGCCAGTCTTCCATGAGTAGGTAAACATGTAACCAAACTTTTCCTTCTAAAACCCCACTAAATGACAATAGAGGCACTTTTAAAAGGAATAAGCTCTCAAGGATAAAGGGAATACCTGAAAAGACAACAGGAGATGAGAGATTTCAATAAATGTACACACACACATGGAACCCTGGTAATGTAGTAGAATACAAGCTGGGCTGCTAACCTCAAGGTTAGCAGTTTGAATCAATCAGTCACTCCAAGGGAGAAAGATCAGGATTTCTGCTTCCATAAAGATTTACAGTCTTGAAAAACCCGTTACAGGGTCGCTGTGAGTCAGATAGCACACAACCACCTCCACCAACAGCAACACCACCACACACACACATACAAACAAACTTCTAGACCAGCTGTTTTAAGACAAAGCAACTTTGCTCAGTCATGCCTTCCCTTTTCAAACTCGCAAAACCCCACCCACTACTTAGTTCTAGCTACAGTGTGATGCTGTGGGTTAATGTGCCAGACTGCAAAGCCATTTGAATTGCAAGGTTAGTGGTTCAAGCTCACCAGCTGCTCCTCAGAAACCCTATACAGGGTGGCTATGGGTTGGAATCGACTCAAAAGGCACTTAATAACAACAATACAGTGTCAAAGGCCATTATAGACAAATAAAGATTTATATGCATACTCAGCAAACAAAAGATCATCTACTTATCAAGATCTACAATATTGGCGATCATGGGGTTTATAAATATATGTAAGGTTCTTCCAATCACATGGATCAGGATGGAAAAAGAAGTAGAATAAAGTTGCCCAAATGTATGATACACTATATAGAAACCAGGGCTTCAAATACGTTCTCTGGTTTGACAGGCTTGCTGAGAATTTCCACCCAAGATACACTGAATCAGAATCTACATTTTAATAAGATTATTATGTATGCATAAAAATCACCTGTGTATTTATTAAAATGTAGATGATCTGCTTCAGTATATCTGGGGTAGAAAGACAAATTCTCAGCAGGGGGTCAAACCAAAATGAACAGCTACTAAATCCTGGTGGAAACCTGGATCTCCTGACATCACATTTCCAATGGGTTCCACACATCTAATTGATCGTAATTTGGGACATGCAGATGGTCATCCCTTAATTCTGTCTGGCTTGAGTCATTGCCTAAGCAAAAAAAAAAAAAAAAAAGAATAGTTATAAATCTGTACTTCATACAGAAAACCTAAAAAGTGTATTCTGAAAATGGAAATAGGCTAAAATTTGGACTTTTATATAATGACTCTATTATTTATAAAAACAGAAATTTCTGAGTAAGTTCAGAAGAAAAGAAACTTCTCAGCAAAAAGGAATTAACCTAGGAAAGTAAGCCACATGCTTCCAATGAAGTTTGAAAGGACCAGTTATTTCATAAATAATATTTAGCCGGCACTTCAAAATTTTCAAGGCTAAAACCACACAGTTAAACTCAAACAATAAAATGGCATCATAATTTATACTGTGGATAAAAGACACAGAGTTACTGAGTTTACCATGTAATGAAGAAAAATAGAACTCAAGGTTCTAGTGAAAGACTATTTAATCAGATTTCTGTATAATTAGTCATTGCTCTGAAAAAATGACCCGTTATGTGGGTAAGGCATTAGACGACTGCTAATCAAAAGGCAAGTGGTTCAAACTCACAAAATGTTCCATAAGAGAAAGATGAGGTTGTCTGCTCCCATAAAGATTCAGTCTCAAAAACCCTACTTCGGGTAGTCAGGAGTTGGTATAACTCCATGTCAGTGGGTTTGGTTTTGTATTTCTTAATGTGAGTAATTAGCGTACTTTGCATAAGAAAAAACAGTTCTTGTTTATTATGGATTGAATCTGGCTGCAAGACTTAAGGTCAGCAGTTCGAAACTACCAGCCGCTCCGTGGGAGAAAAATGAGGTTTTCTGCTTCTGTAAAGATTTACAGCCTCGGAAACCCTGTACAGGGTAGCTATCGTGGGTCAGAACTGACTCCACCACACATAACAACAACAACATAACCCCAAAAAGGTTACATCGAGGTCCCAAAGCCTGAATCTATCAATGTGATCCTGTTTGTAAACAGGGTTTCTCTATTATGTTAATGAGGCCTTATTGGATTTGTTGTTAATCACCTTTGAGTCTGTTCTGACTCATAGCAACCCTGTATAGGGTTCCCAAGGAGCACCTGGTGGGTTTGAACTGCCGAACTTGTGGTTCCCATTAACCCTGAGGTCCAGTATTTATCCTACAGCATCACACCAGGATTCCATCAACTCAACTCTGAATCATAGTAACCCTATTCACAAAATAACAAAACTACGAGTTCTGTGCTATTCTCACAATTGTTCTTACATTTCAAACCACTGTTGCTGCCACTGTATCAACTTGGGAATGGTCCTCTTTTTTGTTAACCCTCTGCTTTGCCAAGAATGATGTCCTTTTCCAAGAATTGGTCCCTCCTGATAAAATGCCCAAGGTATAAGAGATGAAGTCTCACATCCCTTCAAAGGAGCATTCTAGCTGTACTTCCTCCAGTTCAGATTTGTTTGCTCTTCTGGCAGTCCGTGGTACTTTTAATATTCTCCAACACAAGAACTCAAATGCATGGACTCATTAATGATCTTCTGTATTTACTGTGCAACTTTCAAATGCATATGAGGTAAGGCAGAGCTGGTCCCATTGTGCTGTGGATCTGCGCCACCTGCAGTCCCAGGTCTGTGCCCCGAGCCGCCCGCCTGCCCGCTATGGAGCCCGATGCCACCGCCCACACCGCCCCTAGCCTGGACACTATCTGAGAGAGCTGGTTCCTTAACATCTGCAGCCTGTGGCCTGGCCACGTGTTCACGTGTTGTCACTGCAATTAGAACAGCTACTGCACCATTAGCACTCGCAGTACTATGACATCCTGGTCTTCTGCAGTAAGACCGTTGGCAACGTGCTGGTATTGGACAGCGTCATCCAGTGCACAGCGAGGGATGAGTTCTCCTACCAAGAAATGATTGCCAACCTGCCCTTCTGCAGCCTCCCCAACCTGCAAAAGGTGCTGCTTATTGGGGGCAAGGACAGGTGTGTCCTGCGTAAAGTGGTGCAGCACCCCTCAATGGAGGCCATGGTCCAGTGCAAAATGATGAGGATGTCATTCATCTCTCTAAGAAGTTACTGCCAAGCATGGCTGTTGGCTACTCCAGCTCAAAGCTGACCCTCCTCCACGTGGGTGACAGTTTTCAGTTCCTGAAACAGAAATAGGATGCTTTTCATGCTATCATCACTGACTCCTCAGACCCCGTAGGCCCCACTGAGAGTCTCTTCAAGGAATCCCATTCCCAGCTCATGAAAACCTCCCTCAAGGAGGATGGAATTCTCTGCTGCCAAGGTGAGTGCCAGTGGCTGCACCTGGACCTCACCAAGGAGATGCGGCAGTTCTGCAAATTGCTCTTACGGGTGGTGGCCTATGCCTACTGCACCATTCCTACCCCAGTGGCCAGATTGGTTTCAAGATCTGAGGCACCAACTTCCAGGCACCTGTGCAGCCACTGACACAGACTCAGGTGGAGCAAAAGCAACTGCGATGCTACAACTCAGACGTGCATTGGAACACCTTTGTGCTGCCTGAGTTTTCCCGCAAGGCCCTGAGTGACCTGAGCTGAGCCCAGAACTAATGCCACCACCATCACCCAGAAACCTTGGACCAGGGAGCCTCCGGTGTGTCCGGGTCTCCCCAGCACTGTATAAGACCCTCTGTAGGCTTTCACTCACCAACAAAGTGTTACTAGCCTCAGAATGACGCTTGACCTGCCCTACTGAGCAGACCATGTCGTGTCTGTCTTTCTCTCTGTGTGGTGTCCAGCATCCAGTCTGTACCAGCTATATACAGCACCTTCTCTGCCTTCTGTCCCCTTGCTCACAAAACTTAGGCATTTGTAACAAATAAACAAAAATGCATGAGGTGACTGAAAATACTATGGCTTGGGTCAGGTACACCTTAGTCCTCAAACTCATCTCTTTGTTTTGTTTGAAAATATGACTAACAGGAGAACACTGTCAGATAAAGTGCCAAAATATGAGCTCCTCAGGTTGGAAGGCACTCCAATTACTACCGGGAAAGAGCTGCCTCTTCAAAGTAGAGTTAACCATAATGGTGTGAATGGAGTAAAGCTTTCAGGGCCTTCATTTTGTCGTGGGGCAACACTCAAAATGAAGAAACACAGCTGCAAATATCAGAATGTTGTTAAGTGCTGTGGAATCGGTTCCGACTCATATCGATTCCATGTAGGGTTTCCAAGGAGCAGCTTGGTGGGTTTAAACTGCCGATTTTGTGGTTCGAAGTCCAGTGCCTATCCAACAGTGCCACACCAGTTGTCATAAATATAATCACTACTGATAGGTATCACATAAACACACACACATACTGGAGAAGGAAGATGCTGTGTGATGACGGAAGCAAAGCAATCTACAAGTCCAGGAACCTATAGATTGCCATCAGTTAGCAGAAGCTGAAGTGAATTGGGACTTCTACCCATCTAAGTGCCCTGGTGTGGCACTGTGGGTTAATGCGGTGGACAGCAAAGTTGCTTTGTACTGAAAGGTTGATGGATCAAGCTCATCAGTTGCTCCTTGGAAATACTATACAGGGTCACTGTAGGTTGGAACCAACTCGACAACAACACCCATCTAAAATATGTCAAAACAAATTTTGTTCTCTAAAGTCACCCACCATATACTGTTCCTTACGGCAGCCTTAGGAAATTAAGGCCCTGGTTGGTGCAAATGGTTAATATGCTCTCAACTGTCGACCAAAAAGTTGGAGATTGAAAAACTCAGACATTGTCTTAATTACCAAAAGGCATTAATGCACGCATAAGCTAAAATTCACAGGCAGTTAACTCTCACATCTTGTTTGCACAGCTGCTATTACAAAATTCTGCTCCATATAAAATCAAGTGTGGAGAGAAAAAAAAAAAGGCAAATGAGAAATTCCACTTAAATACAATGTATTGATCACATGAGTTTATCTAATCTGTCCAAGATTCCACTGAAATACCAATAAAATAATGATTTTAAAGAATAAGTATTCAAGGACAAAAAAAGAACAAAGATGACGGAATAATGAGATTTCAAAGACAATTACAAGTGATGCAAGTGGCTGAAAACAAACAGACTGTTCAAAAGCCTGCAAATGAATAGTTAGCCTTCTTCCATCAGCACATACAGACACTCAGGCAGCAAGGCTGAGGCTTAGATTCTTGTTAATATCAAAAGATTCTTGGGCACCTATAATTGTAAAGGCTACAGTGACTGACAGCTGAAATTATGAGGGTTAGTAAACGTCTGCAAAGAAATAATGGATAGCAGCAGAAGACGTATGCACACCAATGTTTATAGCAGCACTATTTACCATAGCAAAAAGGTGGAGACAGCCAAAGTGCCCATCAACTGAAGAATGGATAAACAAATTGTGGTA